AGAATTGTTCAATAATTTTGATCGATACTTGTAGCTGATGATAACTGATTATGTTCATTTGGTCCAAAATTAAAAAAAAAAAAATCATTAAAAAAAAACATAGGAAAAATTTTGGCAAGAAAAATTGTTGTCATATGAACACAAGGATGATCCCATAGTCTTTTTCCAGTCTGTCATAGTTGTTTCACAGTGTTTCATTTTTGTTCTGTTAATTTGTATTTTTCAGTGTGATTCTGTTAGCCATTCCATTTTTCTCACAAATCTTGACGTCTCATTTCTTGGATAACGATACTTTTGACAGCCAAGTAAGTCCCAGCAAGATGTTTTTTTGTAGCATTCATAGTAAGATCATTGATTTAAGCATCAAATATTTTAAAATAGCTTCTTTTATTGATGTTTGTTTTATTTCTTGTTTATATTCAGCTTTGGAGCAGTTTCTTTCATCTCTCTGTGTCGTTTTTGACACAACCGTGTTTACAGCTCGAGACGTTTTCTGAAGTGAAACGAAACAAAATCAAAGATCAGTACGGGGATATGAGAGTCTTGATGGGATTTGAGATAGTCTCTATGTGGCAGAATCTTGGTGAGTGTCAATGTCGTCTGTATAGTTGTCATGATGACATCTTTTCCAGCTAATACCGATTTTCTAATTTCTGAATTTTCTATTTAGGGGATCACAAAATCAGTTTCCTCAGTCTCATTGGTTCATTCTTGGAAGTCACACTAGTCCCAGAGACGGAACTCCGCAGAACAACTCTTCCCATATTCTACGATATCATGGAGTGTGAACAAAAAAACAGAGGAAACTTCAAACAGGTATGACCTTTGACCCTCAGAATGGTTTGTGCGAAATTTATTTCTTTTAATTTTCATGGTTGATGAAGTTGCTGTCGCATTTGATGTAAAGATTGATTTCTGATGGATTTTCTATGCAAAATTGTTGCTGAAATATTTCTCAGTACTTACGTAGATGCCATGTCTGAGTTGCAGATTCTAGATTCACTTATGGCTAAGGCCGCTCTATTCTACTCCATTCCCAGCAAAAAAAATATTTCTTAAGGCAATAAGTTCAATGCAACAATTTTTCAAGTGAAAATTCAGAGACAGTCAGTACTTTTATTTTTTTCTCATAAAGCAACAAGTGGATATTTTTCACATGGATTTTAATCTTAAAAAGTAAATGATTATCATTTTAACAAAGTTTTCAACTTACAAACCAATTTGGCTCTCAACTAAAACCAATAACCCCTAACCCTAATTTCTCCCCGAAAACTATAAAATCTGAAATATTGCAATCATGTCTTAAATTAAAATGGATGTTCATATGACAGAACTATCACTCAACTACACTAATATCAATCTAGTTTTTTCTGCTTTAAAACACATTGGAAAAATTTCATTTTCTGTACATTTTAAACACACTTACATGTATTTCTGTTGGCACCGCCAACAGTCAATTCGAACAAAATGTCACCTTCATTCTTCATGATCAAAAAAAAACTACCGTATAATTGGAAAATTTACATGAAGTGTGTCCATAGAGCAATGTTGTTTTTGTGTCTGGACTAAATAAAAACATTTTGAATTAGAACTCTATATCACTTTTGGTAGACAAGACAAAAACGCTGTCCAATACAGTCCACACTGTATATTGCAAAAATCAGATTTGGAAAAATTTATAGTCTCTCCTTTGAGAATGAAATTCAGGGAATTCTAATTAACCCTCAGTCAGAATGACAGTGGCTCTTTGCTGCACTATATACACAACAAACAGACAAAGTTGCCTAAAATCAATTTAAATTAACCAGAAATTTAACAATAAAATCACATATATAACAGCCCTAGCCAAAATTCCTAAAATGCTGTTATTATTGTACATCTCGTCAAGCATGTTGTGAAACCATTTTGACAATAAAACAATGACCAGAGATCAGAAATCAATTCGTAAATTCAAACCCAGGAACAATAAAGCCATAATTTTGTTTGCACAGTGGCACAGATCAATACCCAAAACTACATAGTTGCCATCTTGCTCAAAATACCAAAATGTGAGTCACACAGTATTAAAAGAGGCTTTTAAAAAACAAATCATATGACTATTTTGATGCTGCATAATTCACTAGACAGCTGACTTCCTTTTAATTCATGGCCAATCAGTGACCGCGATTGTCATGAATAGCGCCCTCTGCATCAAAAACAAAAGAAATAAAGTAACTGATCTCAACTATAGAGGGTGAAAACAACAATATAAGATGCTTAGAGGTCTGATATACAGATATGTGTTGTTTTCACAGGTTGAATCTGAAGTGATTGATAAGTTAGATTTGTTGGTTGGTACTGAGAAGAAAGGAGATGAAGAATACAAGACACTGTTTTATTCCATGTGAGTGAAGCCTTACAGTGAAATCGGTGTAGTCCAAAAGCACCATTTGTACTGTAAAACCATTTATTTTCACTGACATTTCATTATTTTTATATAGTTTTTAAATTAATTTGCCAGTGAAACATTGAGTTCTATTGTTATTTAACATGTTCATGTGAATTTAATTTTGACATATTTTATTTATTACCAGTAGCGAAATTAAAATCCAGCAAATAATGCATTTATAGTATTTTTAATTGTAAATGAGCCAAAATAAAGTAGTGTCTAGACATAACACAAACTGACTCAAAGAAAGTCTGAGAAATGTAGCTGATAATTATTATAAACATTGTTGAGGATGATACAGAATTTAGTAGTTGCCATTACTTCAGATGCATGTATTTTGATGAGAAGATTTCAAAAACATGCAATTATAAAAACACTACTTTGTACAGTCACAGTCTACTGTATATGGTCTAACTATTTTCCCAGTCCCAGTCTCTTAATAACAAATACCACCGCTAGGTGTTACAAAGTTCATCACAAAAAAAGATTTAAAAAAAACATTGTTTAATTGCCAGATCTTAGTTTGAAAACAAGAAACTAGAGCAATTTGAATAACTGTCTTGTTTCACGTTACAAATTTGTCTGCTTGTTGCCATGATTCCATCACTTATTGTTAGGTGTCTTTATCGCAACTAGTCTTATGTGTTTTTTATCCGGTTAATTTGACTAACGTATTTTGTTCTTAGATTGTCTGAGAGATTACAAGATCAGCCGTGGAAGGAGACTGGATTATCATTTGTCAAGACAGTAGCCGGATTACTAGTGACATTATTAGATTATAGAACAGTGATGATGAAAGACGAGAAATTCAAACAAATGAGTTGTACAATGAATATACTGGTAAGTATCGACTTAAACCTCAGCTCCGGGTGAATATATTTGATAATCAGAATAGAAGGAGCACTTTCATTTTCTGTCATTTACAGCCAAGATATTTGTAGAATGCTATTTCTATTTTAGTTTACTAATTGGGCAAGGATTAAGCGTAATTCTTGTCTAAGTTGACGAGAAAGCATGTTTTAATTAGCCATTATCTTCGCTAGCCAAGGTCTAAGTTTATTCGGCCAAGCCTCTGAACAGACCTTGGTAGAACGACCATCAAGTAGTCAGTTGCGGCTAATCATTGTCCAATCAGTTTGTGTGTTACAAATCCCTCTTTGGTGTTTCATTTTAAACAAAATGGCGGCGCCCATGAATTGTGATATTTGTGATGATAAAATTGCGAAAGTTTTCGGTGTTGGTGCCCTCAAACCTCATCAGGTACAGGCAGTTGAGGCAGTTTTGTGTGGGAAGGATGTCTTCATAAAGACAAAAACAGAAAGTGGAATTTTGTTTTATAATTTAGTACGTCCAAGCTGATTGAGCGCCTTTTTTCGAGATGCGCCAAATCTGATCTCAGTGCTTAAGATACGCAATGAGCCTATGCGACCCCACACGGTATTGTGCAGAGGCCTATAGGTCGAAGACACGGTGACCGTGCGATTCGGACGATGAATAGCCATGGGAGTCTTCCTTATGACTGTCTTTTCAAATCAGTGATTTAACCCAAACTGTTAGTAACTATACATCTTTTCAAGACAGACATTGGTATACATGTACATAATATATTAGTAGATTGAATTAACACATCCTTAATGTTTTTAGTATACAGTCAAACCATTTATTTTCACTGGTATCTAATTTCACTATTTTGATGTTTTGAGCACTTGGTCTGCACAAACTTGTCAAGGAAACAATATATTCATATTGATTTAATTATTAATTATTATCAGTGAAACTTGCGTAATTAAAAACCAGTGAGTAATTAATGATTTCCCATGGTACAGTCTGGGTCTTGTGGAGACATAATTTAAATAAGGAATATTTAAGAAATTTATAGTATGTACATGTTTTGTGCTAAAATGACAATTTTGCACTGGTACAGTCTGGGTCTTGTGGAGACATAATTTAAATAAGGAATATTTAAGAAATTTATAGTATGTACATGTTTTGTGCTAAAATGACAATTTTCTCACAGAATTTTTACAAAGATGAGTTGAAGAAAGAAGAGATGTACAAGCGATACATTTACAAGTTGCATGATTTACATATACCCGATACGAACTATGCGGAAGCGGCATTTACATTGTTGACATTAGCCAATAGTCTGAAGTGGAGCGCCAAACCATTACAACAAGATGAAAAGTTTCCAAAACAAACAGAGTGGCAGCGAAAAGAATCTCTCTACGTGGAAATAATTGATTTGTTAGATAGAGGAAAGGTCGGTGAACTGCTGAGCTGATGATTCTATCAGCTGCATATTTTCATTATTTATGGTCTTTATATTACCGTACTCGACTGACTTAGCGGGGAGAGTAACTTGCCTTGGAAAATCATGTTTTGTAAAGAGTGAACGCTTAGTCAAACACCCCAAAACAATATCAAAATAACAATTTTTACTCAGTATTTAGCAAGTTTGGCAGCATATTACAAGTCGTTAGAAAAATTTAAAAAAAAACGTTGTCATTGATTTCCAAATTGTCATCACAATGACAGTTAAAACAAATGTTATTACAATATTGTTTGTATAAGTACCATCAGAACTTTTTTGAAAGTCAATTATCTGCATAATTATCTCTATTGTTGAATCGTATGCAAACATATATATGTTACTGCATGAGGAACCTTGTAGATTAGAAATACAAAATTAGAAATGGTGATGGAGATGGTTAGATCTTTGAAGGACATCAATTTATTGATTTCTATTTTTATTCACTTTCAGACATGGGAGCATGCAGTGCCGTTATGTAAAGAATTAGCCGTGCAATATGAAACCAAAGCATTCGACTATGCGAAACTCAGTAAAATCCTGGTAATTTTATGTTTCAATGTATACCTGGGTTTTCAATATAATATTTTTAGTTGTAGATGTCATATTTACATGATAGACGTGTACTGTGTCGGTTGATGTAAGAAATTCAACTTTTTGTCGTCGGTAGTCTTTTTGATCGTCAAATTCTACATGAAATTCAAGATAATATTCAATAAATCTTTGAAAAACATGTACCGGT